CTAAATGCCTTACAGATGGACTCCTCACAAACACAAACCTCTTTCGCGGCCCTCAACTATTCCCAGTATTTGGCCTTGCTGTAATTTGCAACATACTTACCTAATTGAGACGCCATTAAGGTCAGCGCATGCATTCTTAAGCTAATATGCCGTCTGCTAATGCACAAGATACACGACAAGGTCCAAGCGGGGCAGGTATAATACGGCTGTTTTTCTTTCAAATAACTACTGACACTCGACGCTGGTTAGGGGCCGGTGTGACTGAATAAATACAGAGGCTTTGTCTAGTTCAACACAACTTCTATTCATATATTGTTAAGCAAAAGTGGCACCAGAGTGTTTGACAGTAATACCATTTTGTGTTTTAGAAACCCTTGTTTTCTGTACAAACACTTTTTAAACCAAATGTTCTTGTGATATTATGAAATTATGAGGAAGTTTTACAATAAGTCCAGTATGAATACATGTACAGTTTGCTGTTACACTGATTTTTCGGTGTTCTTTTTTTTCAACCTACTTCTCATGGGGCGTTTGTACTCCAACAATATCATATAACCGCTGGTATAGCATGACAGTTACCTTTATTCAAAGTCAGAAGAAAATTTTTGTGGATCTCTTGTTTCTATCTGGTCTCTCTCTTTGGTATCTCTCCGGTCTCTCTCTCTGATCTATCTCTCTTGTTTCTTTCTCTGGTCTCTTTCTGATCTCTCTCTCTCTGGTCTCTCTCTAGTCTCTCTCTATACACTCTCTGGTGTCTCTCTGGTCTCTTCCTCTGGTGTCTCTCTGGTCTTCTGGTCTCTCTCTGGTCTGCCTCTCCGGTCACTCTGTGGTCTCTCTCTATTCTCGCTCTCTTTCTCTGGTTCTTCTCTCTGGCATCTTTTTCTCTCTCTGAACTTTGTCTCTGATCTCTCTCTCTAGTCTATTTCTCTGATCTCTCTCTGGTCTCTCTGATCTCTTTCTGGTCTCGCTTTCTCTCTAAACTGCACCACTGTGATTAGTTCAGACTTCTACCGCAATCTTCCCATAGCCCTCAGTCCTGTCCCTCTGCGTCCTCTGCAGCTGTATTTTACAGTATACGCACGGCTTTTGACAGCTGCAGCAGCGCTCAGACCTACAACCAACATGTTTGATATCTCTGGTCTCTCTCACTTCATCAGTCGTGAGTTCAGGTGGTTAGAAAACTGAATAAAGTGTGTGCGAGGGTTTTACACCCTGAATACAAACATCTGCTACATCACAGATCTCACTTTTTGCCATATATATTTAAGAACACATCACCCCTGCGATAAAAACAAGCAAACACTCGTTTTCACACACTGTTGCTGTCTTTAAGTCGGCGAAACAAGAAGATGTCACCCCCTGCCCCTATACGGAAAATACACCTATATTTGCTTCCCCTTTGTGCACAGTAGAAATATATATCCTATCACCAATAAAAGTAGCCGAGATTTAAGCCCGAGTCGTAGCCGCAGACACCGAACCCGACATTCTGAAAAGCCGGTCTCCAGGACGGAGTCGTCGGGCCCTGTTTGAGCATGTCTTTTGGGCATTTCTCATGGAGTGTGTCTGACAGAGAGATAACAGAGTGTCAGAGCGGGTCATCCGTCTTCCTCTCACAGACCTTTTCTGCAGGATTCGATCTTCGGGGTGTGGGAGACGACACCGGGGCAATTAATCAAACTTGTTACTTGTAAGTGTCGTCTTTGTCTTTGGCGCGATAAATCACTGTCTGCCTCTGTACAGGACTCACAAAGCAGGAGTCAGTCCAGATAAATCCATCTGTGAGAAGTGACGCAGCGACCGACAACACACGGTTTCTGTCTCGGATTTAAAAAAAGAAACTTTCTTTAAGAAGGAAGGGATGAAGACTGGAGGCACACAGACACACACACACACATATACACACACATATACACACACAGACAAACACACAGACACAGAAACACACACACACACACACAGACAAACACACAGACACAGAAACACACACACACACACAGACAAACACATAGACACAGAAACACACACACACACACACACAGACAAACACACAGACACAGAAACACACACACACACACACAGACAAACACACAGACACAGAAACACACACACACACACAGACAAACACATAGACACAGAAACACACACACACACACACACAGACAAACACATAGACACAGAAACACACACACACACACACAGACAAACAGCGGGGGGCAAGAAAGTGTAACTTTAACCATTGTTATAACTCGTTGGTACAACAATAATCCCACGGTTATTTAAATGTAAGCCTATTTTAAATAAATAATGTAAAATGCTTGTAATGTTACAACAATACGTCGCACCCCCTCCCTTCCTTCACTGCGATAAAGTGGCCCGGCATTTCAAAGTCTGCAGTAATGGGGTCCGCACGTTAAAAGTGGGTGGCTCCTTTTGGTTGTTACTTACAGTAAAAGTGTAAAGGGGGGATGAGACGCCAAAATGCACTTTATATAACATTTTTGTTTTAGATCTAAAAGATACTTGCGACTACTTCCACTACACACTTCTACACGGTGATGCCCTCTACAAGTGGACAAAGGTGCCATGAGTCGCCCCTGCACGCACACACCGCAAATGAAGGCATCTGATTGGTCAATCCATATTCGTCTCATATCTGGATTCACCAAGACAATATTACAACACAAACCCAGGATCATCAGCGCAACATGCTGATTGTGACACAAACAGTTACTGAGCTCCAGGAGTCAATAGAAGCCAGAGCAAGTTGGAGCAAAACTTCATCCATGAGCACTTTGCCTATTGCGCTTCATTGAGCTAGCGTGTTAACCTTGCCTATCTATACGCAGTCTATGGTGCGGACGTGAAAATGTGCTGCGTACTGTGACTTTAGGGCTGTTGGGGAATGGGTACCTTTTTTATGAGCCGGGAAGCAGGTGTTGTTTATTTGAAACCATTTGAAAAAGCTCGGCCCGCGCCAAAACCCAACCCACAAACTTCCATTTTAACAACAAGGATCGTAAATAAAATCCAACACGAAACGCTGGATCCTCCTCTCTCTCCGATCCCCCTCAAATCTGATCTCAGTTTGTGAGTTGGTGTTTGCCAGAACGCTGCTCGGACGCTGCCAACCGTCTGCAAAACAAGCTCAAGAACACAAAAACTTTTCTCTTCCATTTTCCAAATCGGCACATTTCAGCAGTTAACGCCGCTCGACCAGGCACCAGATGTAACCGCAGAATGAGACTAATATGCACTGGATCACATGGTTTCAGCATCAGAATCAGAAAGAGATAGGCAGGAATATGCAGGGATTTGACCTCAATACTAGGATTCCCGTTCGAAACCAATGGAATTCTGGAAAGTTAGTTCCAAAAATGTTTAGTGTAGTTCACTGGCCCAAATTTAGCCGTATCTTAAAGCACTGATTAAAAGGAGAAAAAATAAAATCAAGGGCATTTATAGGTGGGAGGGAGACAGGATAATGGGAACTATGAGGGCTTCACAGACTCAATAACTGTTTGTATAATAATAATAATAATAATAATAATCCACTGAGTTTATGTAGCGGTATTATTATCATTATGCCCTATTTATTGATTCTAATCCCATGTGTGATTTTAAAGATACAGTCAGTGATTTTTTCCAGACAGCATTTTTTTTAAATATTGTGGAAAAACGTCCCTAAATCCTAAAAGTATCAAGTTATCATGTGTTTTCAAATAGTAATGGAATTGACCAGATGCCTATAGTCTACAAAAATTAACAAAAAATATTTTGGAGCGGATCAATAAAAATGAACCAATGGGAGTCGTTCATCCCCAACGAACCAATGGGATGCGTTTACCCCCTTCACCCTCTTATTATCGGATTTTCTAAAACCTAAAATGGCTGAACAGAAAATACCAATTTCACGTTTGCTGCCCACTCTCCCTGTTGTGACAGAGAAAAGAAAATGCTGGATGTTTGGTTCGGTGGAGAGGCAAGGGGAGGGGGTAGTGGTTTTCAGTCGATGCTACAGCTAAGCTAACAACATCGCTAACTGCACCTTTAAGTTTACGTTTATAATAAGAGCTATAAGGGCGACAGTGGCTCAGTTGGTAGTGATTTGGCCATAGAGCCTGAAGGTTGTGGGTTTGAGCCCATCATGAGACCTTCTCCACCGACTCCCACTGAGGTCTGCTGTCGTTGTGTCTTTGCCTTTGTACCACTTTGCCTGAAGCCCCCACTGAATGATCAAGGCTCCTGTGAGGGGCTGGAGCTCAGATGGATGGATAAGTGATAATGTGGGATAAATAAAGTAGTCTGACTCTGAGTAAGTGTAGGAAAGGTGCTCTTAAAAGTCTGGGTCAAATGCCGGCGACATGTTTTCCCAATGAGGACAATAAAATATAACATTAAAAAAGTTCAAATTTCATATTCAAACAAATGGGAGTTAAAGGTAAAACTCATAAAAAGTATTGACAAAACATCAGTGTGTGTGTATGGGTCAGAACACTGTTTGTACGTGTGTGTGTGAGTGTGTGTGTCTGTGAGAGCACGACTGTGTGTGTGGGCATAGAGTGTGTGTCGGCTCATTTGTGTGCGTGTGTGTGTGTGTGTGTTTGCGCATGTGTGTGTGTGTGTTTGCGCATGTGTTTGCAAAGCTTAGACTGTAGGTGACATTTGTTGTACGTTAACACAACTGTTAAAACAGACCCACATCCTGTGACTCTTTGACTTGAAAGTCTTGTGGCGACCGACATCAAGAACAAAAGCAGATCACACACAAAATGCAAACAATTCAAATGAACACAAAATAGTCATGAGTTTTGTCGCCATCGAAAATACAAGCGGAGACCGGAACAAACGCAATATTTTCACAGAAAGGTCACAACGTATATATAGTACGGGAAACTCTTGTGTGTCGGGAAAAAGTAATCATCTCTCGACAAAGTGGGAGCAATAAAAACAAGCAGTGATATAGATTCCCTGTTGTTTTAAGTCTATTTTAGTAAGTTTCAAACCAACGCAGAGTCAGAAGCTCCTACCTGAGTCTCCAGTCTGATCAGTCGAGCACCGATGGTTGGATATTCTTTATCTTCACCCTTTCCTGGTAAAAAAAATCAATAAATAAATATTTATTTTACCAAACAGCTATAGGCTTACCAACCGTACAGACAAGGGAAAAACAGCAACAATAATAACACCACAGTATAAATAATGTAAATGTGTAATTATATACAGTATATATATATATATTTGTATGTACGTCCCAGTGGGAGGAGACCCAGGACATGTTGGAGGGACTGTGTCTCTTTCTGGCCTGGGATTGACTCAGGATTCCCCCAGATGAGCCGGAGGAAGTGTGTATATGTAAAGAAAAACTAATAAAATACACACAAAAAACATCCGCTGACATTAGCATAAACCTGATAGCGATGGAATGTATTTGTGTATCGTATTTGGTGTTTAGTATAAGGAAACATATTTGTACTTTTACTTTTAGAACTTGCTTACACCTTGAAGCATTTGAAGCAAATTCCTAGAGAGAAAAAAGTGAGAGACCAGAGAGAGACTAGAGAGAGACTAGAGAGAGACCAGAGAGAGATCAGAGAGAGACCAGAGAGAGACCAAAGAGAGCCCAGAGAGAGAAAAGAGAGAGACCAGAGAGAGACTAGAGAGAGATTAGAGAGAGATCAGAGAGAGATTAGAGAGAGATCAGAGAGACCAGAGAGAGATTAGAGAGAGATCAGAGAGAGATCAGAGATAGACCAGAGAGAGATCAGAGAGAGACCAGAGAGAGACCAGAGAGAGACTAGAGAGAGACCAGAGAGAGACCAGAGACCTGAATGAGAGACCAGAGAGAACAGAAAGAGATCAGAGAGATTAGGATTATATGTGAAATGACACTAAATCTATCTTTACTCTTACAACTTATTTGCAGCTTGAGCCAAAGCAGATTCCTAGTTTGTGACTTCCTGTTCCTTACGATGGCCATAAAAACTAATTCTGATTCTGATTCCAGTGTCTCTAGAAGTTTGTTTTGTGTACGTGGCGGAGATAAGCCTGTATTTAGTCTGCCGGCTCCGTGTGCGTCTCCGTCGTAAACACAGCCATGCGTGATGAGGGAAGTGCGTCTATCAGATCCAGACTGAGGTGTGTACCTGGGAGAAACATTCCGGGTTTTCCGAGCGTTCCGTCCAGCCTGGAAAACAACCAGAGAGAGACGTCAGAGGAGTTGAGATGAAGCTTCAGACCAAGAACGGAAGGAGTCTTTTTTCATACAGCAACTGTCACAGACCAGAGTCACAGAGAGCTTTACACATGATGCAAGAAGAGATCGGAAAGAAGTTAGGAATGGGTTACATTTGGCTAAATGTGTCTACACCAGGGAAAGACCAGAGAGAGACCAGAGAGAGACCAGAGAGAGACCAGAGAGAGTGACCAGAGAGAGTGACCAGAGAGAGACCAGAGAGTGACCAGAGAGAGACCAGAGAGAGACCAGAGAGAGACCAGAGAGAGTGACCAGAGAGAGACCAGAGAGTGACCAGAGAGAGACCAGAGAGAGACCAGAGAGAGACCAGAGAGAGTGACCAGAGAGAGAGACCAGAGAGAGAGACCAGAGAGAGACCGGAGAGAGACCGGAGAGAGACCAGAGAGAGACCAGAGAGAGACCAGAGAGAGACCAGAGAGAGACCAGAGAGAGACCAGAGAGAGACCAGAGAGAGACCAGAGAGAGACCAGAGAGAGACCAGAGAGAGACCAGAGAGAGTCCAGAGAGAGACCAGAGAGAGACCAGAGAGAGACCAGAGAGAGACCAGAGAGAGACCAGAGAGAGACCAGAGAGAGACCAGAGAGAGTCCAGAGAGAGACCAGAGAGAGTCCAGAGAGAGACCAGAGAGAGTGACCAGAGAGAGAGACCAGAGAGAGAGACCAGAGAGAGACCGGAGAGAGACCAGAGAGAGACCAGAGAGAGACCAGAGAGAGTGACCAGAGAGAGAGACCGGAGAGAGACCGGAGAGAGACCAGAGAGAGAGACCAGAGAGAGAGACCAGAGAGAGACTAGAGAGAGACCAGAGAGAGTCCAGAGAGAGACCAGAGAGAGACCAGAGAGAGACCAGAGAGAGACCAGAGAGAGACCAGAGAGAGTGACCAGAGAGAGAGACCAGAGAGAGACCGGAGAGAGACCGGAGAGAGACCAGAGAGAGACCAGAGAGAGAGACCAGAGAGAGACTAGAGAGAGACCAGAGAGAGTCCAGAGAGAGACCAGAGAGAGTGACCAGAGAGAGAGACCAGAGAGAGAGACCAGAGAGAGACCGGAGAGAGACCGGAGAGAGACCAGAGAGAGACCAGAGAGAGAGACCAGAGAGAGACTAGAGAGAGACCAGAGAGAGTCCAGAGAGAGACCAGAGAGAGACCAGAGAGAGACCAGAGAGAGTCCAGAGAGAGACCAGAGAGAGACCAGAGAGAGACCAGAGAGAGTCCAGAGAGAGACCAGAGAGAGACCAGAGAGAGTGACCAGAGAGAGACCAGAGAGAGACCAGAGAGAGACCAGAGAGAGACCAGAGAGAGTCCAGAGAGAGACCAGAGAGAGTCCAGAGAGAGACCAGAGAGAGACCAGAGAGAGTGACCAGAGAGAGAGACCAGAGAGAGAGACCAGAGAGAGACCGGAGAGAGACCAGAGAGAGACCAGAGAGAGTCCAGAGAGAGACCAGAGAGAGACCAGAGAGAGTGACCAGAGAGAGACCGGAGAGAGAGACCAGAGAGAGACCGGAGAGAGACCAGAGAGAGACCAGAGAGAGTCCAGAGAGAGACCAGAGAGAGACCAGAGAGAGTGACCAGAGGAGAGACCGGAGAGAGACCAGAGAGAGACCAGAGAGAGAGAGACCAGAGTGAGAGACCAGAGAGAGACCAGAGAGAGACCGGAGAGAGACCAGAGAGAGACCAGAGAGAGTCCAGAGAGAGACCAGAGAGAGACCAGAGAGAGTGACCAGAGAGAGACCGGAGAGAGACCAGAGAGAGACCAGAGAGAGAGACCAGAGTGAGAGACCAGAGAGAGACCAGAGAGAGACCAGAGAGAGACCGGAGAGAGACCAGAGAGAGACCAGAGAGAGTCCAGAGAGAGACCAGAGAGAGACCAGAGAGAGTGACCAGAGAGAGACCGGAGAGAGACCAGAGAGAGACCAGAGAGAGAGACCAGAGTGAGAGACCAGAGAGAGACCAGAGAGAGAGACCAGAGAAACACCCGAGAAAGAGAGTGTAGAATAACTTCATCAACTTATACTTTTAGTTTAAGGCCGTTTCCCTGCGTTTTGAAACTAAAGCAAACGTTTTAAATCACAGTAGACGCAGTGACACCGCTCCACGTGAAATATGTTGTTTTTATACAAATATAAAGATTTCTCGGACCTCGGGACAATCCCCTTCTTTTGACCCGTGGCATGAAAACACCACAGCCATAAATCAAGAGCCCATAAAGTCATTGTTCAAAATAAAAGAACAATTTTGAAAGAAACGGCTCAGAAGAAGGCTGCAGACTGAGAGAGTGGCATTGTGGACATGTAATTTATCTGTATGGCACATCAGGCACATTTGGTGGACTCGCTATCCACTCCCATTCACTCTCTTAAAATAACTTGTGTCTCTGCTTTTTCCCAATAAAATTATGCGTCATATTCAGTGTTAAAGCTGCAGTGTTAAAGCAAAAAATCAGTGTTAAAGCTGCTGTACCTAATTTTCAAACCAGTACAGTCAGTAATAGAAAATGGTTCTTTTGACATCATGTGTTTTTGGCCTCTGTCACTTCTTTAGATTAGATTTGGTTTTGGACAGAAAAGTGAAAGAGAGGACCCCCCACCCTCAGCCAATCAGCTCGCAGCCCAATGAGAGCTGATTGGCTGAGGGAATGGACTCACAAGGATCTGTTGAAGACCGCATTATGGGCCTGATGTTGTTCACTACATGGTCTGGGTCTTAGATTTGGTTTTGGACAGAAAAGTGAAAGAGAGGACCCCCCACCCTCAGCCAATCAGCTCGCAGCCCAATGAGAGCTGATTGGCTGAGGGAATGGACTCACAAGGATCTGTTGAAGACCGCATTATGGGCCTGATGTTGTTCACTACATGGTCTGGGTCTTAGTCTCGGTCTGGGACTTGGTCTAGAAATTGGTCTGGGACTTGGTCTAGAACTTGGTCTAGGACGTGGTCTTGGACTTGGACTTGGACTTGGTATTTGTCTTGATCTTGGACTTGGATTTGGACATGGTCTTGGACTGTGTGTGTGTGTGTGTGTGTGTGTGTGTGTGTGTGTGTGTGTGTGTGTGTGTGTGTGTGTGTGTGTGTGTGTGTGTGTGTGTGTGTGTGTGTGTGTGTGTGTGTGTGTGTGTGTGTGTGTGTGTGTGTGACCAAGACCAAGTCCTAAAGAGAGAGACAAGAGAGACCAGAGAGGGACGAGATAGAATCAAGTGAGAGACCAGAGAGGCCTAGAGAATAGAGACCAGACTGAGAGACCAAAGAGAGAGACCAGAGAGAGACCAGAGAGAGACCAAAGAGAGAGACCAGAGAGAGACCAAAGAGAGAGACCAGAGAGAGACCAGAGAGAGACCAAGAGAAAGACCAGAGAGAGAGACCAGAGAGAGACCAAAGAGAGAGACCAGAGAGAGACCAGAGAGAGAGACCAGAGAGAGACCAAAGAGAGAGACCAGAGAGAGAGACCAGAGAGAGACCAAGAGAAAGACCAGAGAGAGACCAAGAGAAAGACCAGAGAGAGAGACCAGAGAGAGACCAAAGAGAGAGAACAGAGAGAGAGACCAGAGAGAGACCAGAGAGAGAGACCAGAGAGAGACCAAGAGAAAGACCAGAGAGAGAGACCAGAGAGAGACCAAAGAGAGAGACCAAGAGAGAGACCAGAGAGAGAGACCAGAGAGAGACCAAAGAGAGAGACCAGAGAGAGACCAAGAGAGAGACCAAGAGAGAGAGACCAGAGAGAGACCAAGAGAGAGACCAGAGAGAGACCAAGAGAAAGACCAGAGAGAGAGACCAGAGAGAGACCAAGAGAGAGACCAAGAGAGAGAGACCAGAGAGAGAGACCAGAGAGAGACCAAGAGAGAGAGACCAGAGAGAGACCAGAGAGAGAGACCAGAGAGAGAGACCAAGAGAAAGACCAGAGAGAGAGACCAGAGAGAGACCAAGAGAGAGACCAAGAGAGAGAGACCAGAGAGAGACCAAGAGAAAGACCAGAGAGAGAGACCAGAGAGAGACCAAAGAGAGAGACCAGAGAGAGAGACCAGAGAGAGACCAAGAGAGAGACCAGAGAGAGACCAAGAGAGAGACCAAGAGAGAGAGACCAGAGAGCACAGACAGAGATCAGTGAGGGATTAGGATTATGTGAAATGACACTTAATCCACAGTATATGTGAGTTAATGTGGACCTCCTCTGCAGCTCCTTGATCCGGACCATCATGTTGAGGTGGCCCTGGGAATACTGCTCGATCACGTCACGTACGTCATAGGGCTTCCGCGCTTGCTGCAAACACACACACACACACACACACACACACACACACACACAACAAAAACACAAAAGCCATTGTCACACACTGTTGGCATGTCCCCCCCAAAACAGGCCGACCCCACCCCCCTGTCTGTGGGGGCAATGGGTTCATTGTTAACCCCTTCGTTGTGTGTGTGTGTGTGCGCAAGTGAGAGTGTGTGTGACTGTGTGCGTGTGTGTGTGGTGACAAGAGCATGGATTAGAAAAAGCACTAGAGTCTTTTCTCAGCTTTGTTTGGAGTGTTGCTGTGTGTGTGTCACTGTGTGTGTGTGTGTGTGTGTGTGTGTGTGTGTGTGTGTGTGTGTGTGTGTGTGTGTGTGTGTGTGCGTGTCGTGCTGGTGATAGAGGCAGCGTGGCCGTGAACTTGCTGAACTCTTTAGGGGTATCTTAGGTATACATAACAGGCTCACAGCTGATTTCACTTATAGCCTGTAATTGAAAACACGCCTGGAGCCTGGAAAGCGTAAGAAAATAGAAAACCTGTTTTTCAAAATAGACGCGCATGAAATTACATCTCAAACGTGAGCACGTCATACAGTAAGTACGATCCTTGAATAGAGCCTGTGCGGAACGTAAACACAATCAAACTATTAATAAAATATGTCTAGCCTGTTGTACAAATGTTAAAAAGTAGAATTATCCATATTTGTGTTAGCATGTTAGCATGTCTGTGTGTTTGTTACTATTACATGTCCCCGACTTTTTGATTCTCTGATCTGTCGTTGGCAAATCCGCAGTTTTGTAAAGACCTCTGAGACGAATCATTTAACACAATCAGGGCCAAAAGAAAAAGTAGAAAAAGTGACTTTGATCGGACTCTACCCGATTTTTCCATAATGCTTTAGTATCAGGAACCGTATCCTAGCAACCGACCCACAGCGAACCAATATGGGGGAAATTCAACGCAATTTAGTTGAATTCACTCCAATTTTACTTTGTATTGACCCGAATCAAAACATCGCTGAGGACTTATACAAATTTGTCAATTCCTCAACTGATTTAGACAATAAAACACAGGAAATTAAATAATAACAAACACATAAATACATTACAAAATACATAATTTTTTACTGCGTACATAATGTTTGACTTTTTTTTTTACATATGAAGCTGGCAAAGCTGTGTATTTAAATGTGTTACTTTTATCTCTGTGCAGCACTTTGGAAACTTGTTAAATTATATGAAATGTGCTATATACATAAAGTGGATTGGATTGGATAATAACATGACCACTGTCCATAACTGTCAATAAATGTCCTGGATCACATCTGTCTTTAGAACCTCCTGCATCGGCAAAAAAACACTTGAAAAAAAAAAACAATTGTGCGGAAAAAAGTGAGAAACCCCAGGGAAGGCCCACATTGAGAGAGATCTGCTCCCACAGACAGGCTGCAGATACAGGACTCAGACTGTAGAACGAGGACTGAGGCTGTGCAGGACTGGCCAAACACAACGACAACACTTTAGTACCAGCTCGACAAAATCAGGTGCCAAAGCAGTACTAAAAAAAGTACATATCACTAGTTAGTAAAATTTTAATTTTAATTTTTTTTTATTTAATTTGTACATGTACGAAGAAAGGGGCAGGCAACATAAGATTTTTTTTCTTCTTTCTGCTCCTTTTCATTTGTGAGACAAGACGACAATTATTTGAAATGTAATTGTAATATGTGTAGTATTGTTTTTGTCTACAATTGAAACAAATAAATAAATAAATAAATAAATAAATAAATAAATAAAATGGCTAAACACGGTAGGGTCAAGTAGGGCTGGTGGAAACGGGGCTTTTGAGTGTATGTGACGTCATGCTGCTAGCCACAATACAACCATGACCACATGTGTTTTTCTTATTGTTCATATGTGTGTGTGTATTTTCCTCTCCGGGCCCAGGAGACCAGTAAAACCCAGACCCCAGGATACGAGCCGGACTGGACGCACACTCAGAGGACGTGCAGGTGCGAGTTATTATAGCCGTTTTCACACAAAAATGCAATGCACTCACCGCACAATACACGACTCCCAAACACAGCTGATGGGCCTCCTCCTCCTCCTCCCATCCCCCAGCCCCAACAGCAGGCTGCACAACTCCCCCCTGAGTGTGACCAGCTCATAATGCTTCTTGTTTAACACTTTCTCAAGCACTTTTTTACTCACCTGAAATTTCCTCCTGGCCACGAAGTACTGCATACGGCGAAGGACCTTAACCGCGGACCGCTGAGAGTGGGACAGCCTGAAACACAGACATCACCAACTATAAGTGACCACAACAGACTGTATACAGATGGACAATGCTAACACAGACTGTATACAGATGGACAATGCTAACATAGACTGTATACAGATGAACAATGCTAACACAGACTGTATACAGATGGACAATGCTAACACAGACTGTATACAGATGGACAATGCTAACAGACTGTATACTGATGGACAATGCTAACACAGACTGTATACAGATGGACAATGCTAACAGACTGTATACAGATGGACAATGCTAACACAGACTGTACTGTATATTAATGGACAATGTTAACCCGCTAGCTCAATGAAGCACAATAGGAAAGAGCTCATGGAAAGAGTTTTGCTTCAACTCACTTTGAATCTCAAAAAAAAAAAGCTCTTTAAAGCTGCACTAACTGACTTTATTATTGTATTCATTACGAAAATGTAATCCATATCCACGCAGTGCACTGCACTGCACTTTTTGAAGAAAAAGTAGCGCAGGGTGTGACATTATATTTTAGATCGAGTTTTGATGAAACAAGGAAGAGAATGTTTTTCGGGACCAGATTGTGACCAATCACAGCGGACCACTAGCCCCCACTTTCTTGAGAAATCTACAGGTCCGTTAGCATAGACGGCTGAGTTAGCACAACAAGCAGAGGAGCTAACCTGAAACTTTCTCGTCTTCGTCACCGGTTACTGCTTACACAGCGAGACAGCCATCCAAAAGAAAGTCCTGTTCCTCCGCGCTTCCCGGTTCTATCGTTCTATGGTCACGCCATCCACGCTCAAATGTACCATACATGATTCTATCCATGTTGGGAGACGCTAGCTCCGTAAACAACAGTGGGTGTGGGGTAGTGGGGGGCGATAGCTTCGTGGGGAGGAGAAAGAGCGAGGCCAGCGGTACCGCTGCTTCGAAATCCCAAAGTCAGTTAGTGCAGCTTTAAAGAAGCTATACCCGATTTTTTTTCTAAGTAGTTCATAAAAAGGCTTTTTACTACATACAAGTTGTATTATAATACATAATTTAATTGAAAACTTGAGGTTATTGATTCAGCTGTGTAAGAATTACAAGCAGTGAAAAGTGCTGAGTAGAGTCTGAGCGGCCGTTTGTTCTCCTCCGCTCACAGAACGAGCAGCGAACAGCCTGTGTCCTCTAGTCTCTACAGCCTGTGTCCTCTAGTCTCTACAGCCTGTGTCCTCTAGTCTCTACAGCCTGTGTCCTCTAGTCTCTACAGCCTGCGTCCTCTAGTCTCTACAGCCTGCGTCCTCTAGCCTCTACAGCCTGCGTCCTCTAGTCTCTACAGCCTGTGTCCTCTAGCCTCTACAGCCTGCGTCCTCTAGTCTCTACAGCCTGTGTCCTCTAGTCTCTACAGCCTGTGTCCTCTAGTCTCTACAGCCTGTGTCCTCTAGCCTCTACAGCCTGTGTCCTCTAGTCTCTACAGCCTGTGTCCTCTAGTCTCTACAGCCTGCGTCCTCTAGTCTCTACAGCCTGTGTCCTCTAGTCTCTACAGCCTGTGTCCTCTAGTCTCTACAGCCTGTGTCCTCTAGTCTCTACAGCCTGTGTCCTCTAGTCTCTACAGCCTGTGTCCTCTAGTCTCTACAGCCTGCGTCCTCTAGTCTCTACAGCCTGCGTCCTCTAGTCTCTACAGCCTGTGTCCTCTAGTCTCTACAGCCTGTGTCCTCTAGTCTCTACAGCCTGTGTCCTCTAGTCTCTACAGCCTGTGTCCTCTAGTCTCTACAGCCTGTGTCCTCTAGTCTCTACAGCCTGCGTCCTCTAGTCTCTACAGCCTGTGTCCTCTAGTCTCTACAGCCTGTGTCCTCTAGTCTCTACAGCCTGTGTCCTCTAGTCTCTACAGCCTGTGTCCTCTAGTCTCTACAGCCTGTGTCCTCTAGCCTCTACAGCCTGCGTCCTCTAGTCTCTACAGCCTGTGTCCTCTAGTCTCTACAGCCTGTGTCCTCTAGTCTCTACAGCCTGCGTCCTCTAGTCTCTACAGCCTGTGTCCTCTAGTCTCTACAGCCTGTGTCCTCTAGTCTCTACAGCCTGTGTCCTCTAGTCTCTACAGCCTGTGTCCTCTAGTCTCTACAGCCTGTGTCCTCTAGTCTCTACAGCCTGTGTCCTCTAGCCTCTACAGCCTGTGTCCTCTAGCCTCTACAGCCTGTGTCCTCTAGTCTCTACAGCCTGTGTCCTCTAGTCTCTACAGCCTGTGTCCTCTAGTCTCTACAGCCTGTGTCCTCTAGCCTCTACAGCCTGTGTCCTCTAGTCTCTACAGCCTGTGTCCTCTAGTCTCTACAGCCTGTGTCCTCTAGTCTCTACAGCCTGTGTCCTCTAGCCTCTACAGCCTGCGTCCTCTAGTCTCTACAGCCTGTGTCCTCTAGTCTCTACAGCCTGTGTCCTCTAGTCTCTACAGCCTGTGTCCTCTAGTCTCTACAGCCTGTGTCCTCTAGTCTCTACAGCCTGTGTCCTCTAGTCTCTACAGCCTGTGTCCTCTAGTCTCTACAGCCTGTGTCCTCTAGTCTCTACAGCCTGTGTCCTCTAGCCTCTACAGCCTGCGTCCTCTAGCCTCTACAGCCTGTGTCCTCTAGTCTCTACAGCCTGTGTCCTCTAGTCTCTACAGCCTGTGTCCTCTAGTCTCTACAGCCTGTGTCCTCTAGTCTCTACAGCCTGTGTCCTCTAGTCTCTACAGCCTGTGTCCTCTAGCCTCTACAGCCTGTGTCCTCTAGTCTCTACAGCCTGCGTCCTCTAGCCTCTACAGCCTGTGTCCTCTAGTCTCTACAGCCTGCGTCCTCTAGTCTCTACAGCCTGTGTCCTCTAGTCTCTACAGCCTGTGTCCTCTAGTCTCTACAGCCTGTGTCCTCTAGCCTCTACAGCCTGTGTCCTCTAGCCTCTACAGCCTGTGTCCTCTAGTCTCTACAGCCTGCGTCCTCTACACTGAAAAAAGTGATTTTGGCGAGTTGTAAATATAATCTATGTAAACCGTATATATTTTACTCGATTATTGTAGCCAGCCATGAAATGATAAAATAATGGGTACATTTTACACATGCTACCTAATTGTTAACAGTAACAACTGTTATGTAGAAAATATGGTAAAATATACCCCAAAGAATTTGGTAAAATACACCCCAAAGACGTGAGCCCTGTGGCCTTGCTTGCGCATGCGTCAGTCCTCGTTCCCAATAGGTTGAGTCAAACGATCAGACCACGTTTTTCAGCCATCTTGGAGCGCCACCGTCCTTTTGCGCCGGATGCCTACAGCCCAAATGAGTAAAGGTAAGCTATTTGCATGGGGCTATTGCTGTATATAATGCAGATGCAAATGATAATTTATAACGTGACGAAATATTTCACTTGGCTTGTATTCGGAGCTAAAGCGGAGGCAGTCCGAAGGATTAGCCTCCACCAATGGCCTTCACGTGTTAGAAACCGGAGTTCTTTACTTTTACAAAGACGCACATCAACGTGGTTTCTCGTAAACACCGGGAGATACAGTGGTAAGGTAATAATTGTAATAATTGCGTCTGGACCAGTGCTGAGACGGTCTGTTAGACGAGAATTCACACTGGAAATTGACGAGCTAACTAGACACAGGGACGAGTCTTTGGGTTAAAAATAAGTTCCAACACTAGATCAATGATCGTCCCCTGCGGCCGCCCCGCGCTGTGGGGAGGACGAGCCGCGTGAGCACTCCGTGAAACTCCGCTGCTCTCCCCATGCTGACACAGCGGAGCTCATTCAGTTCAATTGTAACGAGACACTTTGACCCAGTAACGATAACGGCGTTGTAACAACGGGGAGAGTAAGGAATTAGATTACTCCGTTACTGAAACAATAACGTCGTTACCTAACGCCGTTATTTTAAACAGCGTTATTCCAAACACTGCTTACAGTACAGACCAAAAGTTTGGAAACACTTTTGATGTATCAGCATTTCTTTACTTTCAAAACTATTTACTTTGTCTGATTCTCATTGAAGGCATTAAACTATGAATTAACACATGCAATTATGTAAGAAACAAAAAAGGGTGAAAAAGCTCAAAATATTTTTTAAATGTTTAATTCTTCAAAATCAGCACTCTTCGTTGTTGGCATTTTCTCAATGAGCTTCATTTAATAAGGTCGACATCCGAAATGGTTGAACAGTTTGTGAAGTTCAAACTATTTCTGGTGACGACATTGTGGTGCTCAATGAGAAAATGTCAAAAGTGTAAAGCAGGAATCAAAGCAAAATGTGGCCAAAATGTGAATTTATTTTAATTTTTTTCTGTTTAAAACATAATTCCATATATGTTCATTCATAAATGAATACCTTCAATGAGAAACTACAATGTAAACAGTCTTGGAACTAAAAGAAAAAAACAATTTAGAAAAAAGCGTCTTTTGGTCTGTACTGTATATTCCAGCAACTTAACCAATCATGCAAGATAAACCGAACTGTTGATGTTTAATAAATATTGAAATTATTATTGAGAATAATATGTTTAATGTTTTTTTGTTTGTTTTTTCTGTTGCAGTTAGAATCTGTTCATGGACCTTATGTGGGGCTGACCCACCCACCCAAACTAACCCCATACACCAGGTATCTTAATATTTTTTTATTTATTTAGCCATTCCTTTTATCACTACTTGCAAAAATGAACTGGAAGTGCAAGTTGTGCAACTTCACAACATCAAGAAGATTATACCTTCTGAAACACAGCAGACTAATACATGGGCATTTAGGTCGTGTTCACTCAATGCCCTGCCTCCATGAAAATTGTCCTTGTAATTTTAAGTCATGGGGTGCATTAAGGACACATTTGTCAAGACATCACTCTCAAGCAACACAGCTAGGCATCTTTTCGTTCACGTGCATTGTCTGCAATTCATATTCTGACAATGAGAGGCAATTTTTTGAACATCTTGGTGGCCATTTAAAAAAATTTGAAACAGTGCCCTGTGTATTTGAGGGGTGTGCTTACAAAACCAATATATATGCATCATTCCACAGCCACAAAAGTAGAAAACATAACCCACACTCAGTGGAAGATTTCAAAACCACTGTTCTTCACCAATACCCAAAGAATAAGGATGAAGAAGTGGATCTTGTTGAGGATGTTGAAGATGACTTTGGCTCTGTCCTGGAAGTGGAGGAGGATTTGAACAAGATCATCACTGACAGAGTGGGGTTGCTTCTCTTGAAAATGGACAGCATTTTCAATGTCTCCAATTCCTGTATCGACCAGCTCATAGAGGAGCTTCAATTCCTTACAGCGTCTGCATCTGCCCCTGTCATTAAAGACATAATCCTGAGCACTTTGAGAAAACATGATTGTATGATTGAAGACTCAGTAATGACAGAAATTGTCAAAGACCTTTGCCAGCGAAGCCCTGTCTCTGCTGCTTTACGAGTGGATGGGCCCTTAAGCAGCAAGTTTAGAAGAGAGCAATTTCGAAAGGATCATTTATCATCTGTTGAGCCAGTTGAATACATACTTGACAGTAGAGAGAAAAAATCATTACAATATGTTCCGATCCTTCCTTTATTGTCTCAACTTTTGGACAAAAAACACATTCGAAATGCCATATTACAACACAAAAAGCCGTCTGAAGTCTCTTCCGCATACAAATCATTTAATGATGGGTCTTTACTGAAAGAGAATGCCTTTTTATGTGAAGATGAACTTAAACTGCCACTCATCCTTTATATAGATGACTTTGAGGTGTGCAACCCTCTGGGAACATCCCGCAAGAAACATAAAGTCACTGCTGTGTACTGGGTGTTTGCAGACATACCTGCCACATTGAGATCTACACTGACTTCCATTTACTTGAACATCTTGTGCAAGGCTAATGACGTCAAACAGTTTGGCTATGCAAAAGTTTTGGACCCACTGCTCAAAGATTTGAAGTCCTTTGAAGATGATGGCATTTTTGTTCAAAGCATGGGTAAAGTTGTCAAGGGCACTATACTTGCTGTTGTCGCCGACAACCTTGGAGCTCACTCAATAGGTGGGTTTGTGGAAAGCTTTTCAGGTTCACATTTCTGTCGGTTATGCACTGGAGAACGGTCACAGATCCAGAAGCACGAAGTAGCAGAAGGACTGTTTCCACCACGGACCAAGTCCAACTATGCCATGCATGTCAAAGCAGCACTGTCTGATCCCACAGGAGGTCATCACTGTGGCGTTAAAAGACAGTGTCCCATCTCAGGCAAACTCAGTCACTTTCATGTTACATCAGGTTATCCCGTAGATCCTTTGCATGATTTGCTTGAAGGGATTGTGCCTGTGGAAATATCACTTTGTCTTGACGTGTTTATCAGAAAGAAGTACTTCTCCCTTCAGGAACTCAACCATTCCATCCGTTCCTTTCCGTATAAATGGAGTGATAAGGCAAACAGTCCACAACCCATTGCCCCAAACTTCACATCACGAAAAAGTGTAGGAGGTAATGCACATGAAAACTGGTGCTTGTTGAGAATGATGCCTCTCATGATTGGGGACAAAGTACCAGAAGATGATCCTGCGTGGGAGGTTTTGATGACCCTAAGAGATGTTGTTGAGCTTGTCATGGCTCCTCTCCACACAGATGAGTCAATAGGATACATGGAAAGTAAGATTTCAGAACACCGTTACAGATTTTTGAAAGTGTTTCCAGAGGAGAAAGTGAGACCAAAACATCACTTTCTAGAGCACTATCCTTGGCTTACAACGGTTTACGGGCCACTGGTACATTTCTGGACCATGAGGTTTGAAGCCAAACATCGATTCTTTAAAAGGATTGTGAGGCAGACTGGATGTTTTAGAAACATTCTCATGACAATGGCAAAAAAACACCAAGCAATGATTGCATATCATACCCACGACTGCAACAACCAAAGGCCAGCACTGTCACTGTCCAAGAAGACTGATATACCAGTCGATCTGTTAAAAGACAGCATTAGGGAGTCCTTTGCTAGGAAGTTCCCTGGGGAAGACCTTGTGACCATGACAAATAAAGCCACCATTTTAGGCACAGACTACAATGTTGGAATGCTGCTGCCGTTTGGCTCAACAGGAGGCCTACCTGACTTTGGAGAAATCCAGCAAATAATCGTTGTGAAGGAAACTCCTGTTTTTGTTTTGAAGTTGCTTAGTGGCTGGTATTGTGAACACCTGAGAAGCTTCAGACTGGAGCCAACAGGAGAGACAGAAATCATGAAACATTCTGAATTGAAAGAAACATACCCCTTGGCTGCATATAATACAGCAGATGGATGTGTGGTGTCCCTTAAGCACTTCATTTGCACATCAGAGTAAGTGTAATGGGTTTATTATTTCATATCAAAGTTATGTGCTTACCAATAGGGATAGGGCATATATTTTTTTGGACGTGGACGATATGCTTTTATTGATTAGGGCTGGGACGATACCTTTGTCACGATCCAATACTTGTGTGGCGATCTGATAGTATTAAGAAACTTAAATATTATAAAGATTAACCTTAAGATATGTATTAAAAAAGGAATGTTTCCAAAGTTTTAACTTAAATGCCATTTGACATTTAGTGTGTCACAATTGAAAAGTGCATTAACTGTTCCAGAGACTCCTCATTTACACTGAATCAGTCACATTTTTAGAGCGTTTTCCACATAGCCACATAATGTACTGTAGTTTACAGAGTCTACGTTTAGAATACTATTTTATGAAGTATTGGTGGCTTACTTCTTAGTGAAAACAAACATGACCAGTGTACTCGCTAAATCAAAATCTGACCGAAACAAAGAAAAAAAGGTTCCGCCTTGATGTAAAGTTCAGGGATGTATAATTGGACCGCATACATATGACTTCGATGTGAATGTTTTTTACACGTATAAGCCAGTCCCCCTACTTTGGGGAGCATTGCGATGCGAATGCTAATGGATTCTATTAATCAAGAACGTATCTTCCTACCTTAACCTATCTCACAATATTCCAACGTTGCCCTGGCTTCCGAGCCATATTGTCACAAGTCCGCTATAAGCAAAGACTTTTTTAAAGCAGTTTAGAAGTTTCCCATTCATGCAAGTCATTGAACTCATCCACACATGTCTAAACACTCGGGCTCATTCGGAAATGAGGTCCAATTTGTAAAAAATCCTGACTATTACAAAAGGTAAAAACTTAGTTTGTGCAAGAGGCGTCTGGCTAGCAAGTATGATACTTGCATAAGTATCGATACGTTGCATCGCACAACAATATCGTATATCGATATACAATAGTTTTTTTTCACAGTCGAAGTTATTCACATTTTATTCTTATTTAATGTTACTCTATCATTCAATTAGTGTATTTTTTTTCTGTCTCTGACAGATGAGGAAACCACAAAACCACAATGGCAGTCCATTTAAGGTCATCTTGAAGAACAAACTTTAAAAAATTGACACGTCCAGTACTTCCCTACTCAACATGGAAGAGCTCGTTTCAATCACACCAAAACATTCCCAAGTACCTAGAATTGCACTGTTATACCAAATCAAGAACTTTGACAATCATTTTTCAGTGTCACCTCAACCGCTGACCTTGCATGAACAGCAACGGTAAAGTGGTCTTATAACCACAGCGAACCAATATGGGGGAAATTCAACGCAATTTAGTTTGAATTCAACTCCAATTTTACTTTGTATTGACCCGAATCAAAACATCGCTGAGGACTTATACAAATTTGTCAATTCCTCAACTGATTAGACAATAAAACACAGGAAATTAAATAATAACAAACACATAAATACATTACAAAATACATAATTTTTTACTGCGTACATAATGTTTGACTTTTTTTTTTACATATGAAGCTGGCAAAGCTGTGTATTTAAATGTGTTACTTTTATCTCTGTGCAGCACTTTGGAAACTTGTTAAATTATATGAAATGTGCTATATACATAAAGTGGATTGGATTGGATAATAACATGACCACTGTCCATAACTGTCAATAAATGTCCTGGATCACATCTGTCTTTAGAACCTCCTGCATCGGCAAAAAAACACTTGAAAAAAAAAAACAATTGTGCGGAAAAAAGTGAGAAACCCCAGGGAAGGCCCACATTGAGAGAGATCTGCTCCCACAGACAGGCTGCAGATACAGGACTCAGACTGTAGAACGAGGACTGAGGCTGTGCAGGACTGGCCAAACACAACGACAACACTTTAGTACCAGCTCGACAAAATCAGGTGCCAAAGCAGTACTAAAAAAAGTACATATCACTAGTTTAAAATTTTAATTTTAATTTTTTTTTATTTAATTTGTACATGTACGAAGAAAGGGGCAGGCAACATAAGATTTTTTTTCTTCTTTCTGCTCCTTTTCATTTGTGAGACAAGACGACAATTATTTGAAATGTAATTGTAATATGTGTAGTATTGTTTTTGTCTACAATTGAAACAAATAAATAAATAAATAAATAAATAAATAAATAAATAAATAAAATGGCTAAACACGGTAGGGTCAAGTAGGGCTGGTGGAAACGGGGCTTTTGAGTGTATGTGACGTCATGCTGCTAGCCACAATACAACCATGACCACATGTGTTTTTCTTATTGTTCATATGTGTGTGTGTATTTTCCTCTCCGGGCCCAGGAGACCAGTAAAACCCAGACCCCAGGATACGAGCCGGACTGGACGCACACTCAGAGGACGTGCAGGTGCGAGTTATTATAGCCGTTTTCACACAAAAATGCAATGCACTCACCGCACAATACACGACTCCCAAACACAGCTGATGGGCCTCCTCCTCCTCCTCCCATCCCCCAGCCCCAACAGCAGGCTGCACAACTCCCCCCTGAGTGTGACCAGCTCATAATGCTTCTTGTTTAACACTTTCTCAAGCACTTTTTTACTCACCTGAAATTTCCTCCTGGCCACGAAGTACTGCATACGGCGAAGGACCTTAACCGCGGACCGCTGAGAGTGGGACAGCCTGAAACACAGACATCACCAACTATAAGTGACCACAACAGACTGTATACAGATGGACAATGCTAACACAGACTGTATACATATGGACAATGCTAACACAGACTGTATACAGATGGACAATGCTAACATAGACTGTATACAGATGGACAATGCTAACACAGACTGTATACAGATGGACAATGCTAACATAGACTGTATACAGATGGACAATGCTAACACAGACTGTATACAGATGGACAATGCTAACATAGACTGTATACAGATGAACAATGCTAACATAGACTGTATACAGATGAACAATGCTAACATAGACTGTATACAGATGAACAATGCTAACACAGACTGTATACAGATGAACAATGCTAACAGACTGTATACAGATGGACAATGCTAACACAGACTGTATACAGATGGACAATGCTAACAGACTGTATACTGATGGACAATGCTAACACAGACTGTATACAGATGGACAATGCTAACATAGACTGTATACAGATGGACAATGCTAACACAGACTGTACTGTATATTAATGGACAATGTTAACCCGCTAGCTCAATGAAGCACAATAGGAAAGAGCTCATGGAAAGAGTTTTGCTTCAACTCACTTTGAATCTCAAAAAAAAAAAGCTCTTTAAAGCTGCACTAACTGACTTTATTATTGTATTCATTACGAAAATGTAATCCATATCCACGCAGTGCACTGCACTGCACTTTTTGAAGAAAAAGTAGCGCAGGGTGTGACATTATATTTTAGATCGAGTTTTGATGAAACAAGGAAGAGAATGTTTTTCGGGACCAGATTGTGACCAATCACAGCGGACCACTAGCCCCCACTTTCTTGAGAAATCTACAGGTCCGTTAGCATAGACGGCTGAGTTAGCACAACAAGCAGAGGAGCTAACCTGAAACTTTCTCGTCTTCGTCACCGGTTACTGCTTACACAGCGAGACAGCCATCCAAAAGAAAGTCCTGTTCCTCCGCGCTTCCCGGTTCTATCGTTCTATGGTCACGCCATCCACGCTCAAATGTACCATACATGATTCTATCCATGTTGGGAGACGCTAGCTCCGTAAACAACAGTGGGTGTGGGGTAGTGGGGGGCGATAGCTTCGTGGGGAGGAGAAAGAGCGAGGCCAGCGGTACCGCTGCTTCGAAATCCCAAAGTCAGTTAGTGCAGCTTTAAAGAAGCTATACCCGATTTTTTTTCTAAGTAGTTCATAAAAAGGCTTTTTACTACATACAAGTTGTATTATAATACATAATTTAATTGAAAACTTGAGGTTATTGATTCAGCTGTGTAAGAATTACAAGCAGTGAAAAGTGCTGAGTAGAGTCTGAGCGGCCGTTTGTTCTCCTCCGCTCACAGAACGAGCAGTGAACAGCCTGTGTCCTCTAGTCTCTACAGCCTGTGTCCTCTAGTCTCTACAGCCTGTGTCCTCTAGTCTCTACAGCCTGTGTCCTCTAGTCTCTACAGCCTGTGTCCTCTAGCCTCTACAGCCTGCGTCCTCTAGTCTCTACAGCCTGTGTCCTCTAGTCTCTACAGCCTGTGTCCTCTAGTCTCTACAGCCTGTGTCCTCTAGCCTCTACAGCCTGTGTCCTCTAGTCTCTACAGCCTGTGTCCTCTAGCCTCTACAGCCTGCGTCCTCTAGCCTCTACAGCCTGTGTCCTCTAGTCTCTACAGCCTGTGTCCTCTAGCCTCTACAGCCTGCGTCCTCTAGCCTCTACAGCCTGCGTCCTCTAGCCTCTACAGCCTGTGTCCTCTAGCCTCTACAGCCTGTGTCCTCTAGTCTCTACAGCCTGTGTCCTCTAGCCTCTACAGCCTGTGTCCTCTAGTCTCTACAGCCTGTGTCCTCTAGTCTCTACAGCCTGTGTCCTCTAGCCTCTACAGCCTGTGTCCTCTAGTCTCTACAGCCTGTGTCCTCTAGTCTCTACAGCCTGCGTCCTCTAGCCTCTACAGCCTGTGTCCTCTAGTCTCTACAGCCTGTGTCCTCTAGCCTCTACAGCCTGTGTCCTCTAGTCTCTACAGCCTGCGTCCTCTAGCCTCTACAGCCTGTGTCCTCTAGCCTCTACAGCCTGTGTCCTCTAGTCTCTACAGCCTGTGTCCTCTAGTCTCTACAGCCTGTGTCCTCTAGTCTCTACAGCCTGTGTCCTCTAGCCTCTACAGCCTGTGTCCTCTAGTCTCTACAGCCTGTGTCCTCTAGCCTCTACAGCCTGTGTCCTCTAGCCTCTACAGCTTGTGTCCTCTAGCCTCTACAGCCTGCGTCCTCTAGCCTCTACAGCCTGCGTCCTCTAGTCTCTACAGCCTGTGTCCTCTAGTCTCTACAGCCTGTGTCCTCTAGCCTCTACAGCCTGTGTCCTCTAGTCTCTACAGCCTGCGTCCTCTAGTCTCTACAGCCTGTGTCCTCTAGCCTCTACAGCCTGTGTCCTCTAGTCTCTACAGCCTGCGTCCTCTAGTCTCTACAGCCTGTGTCCTCTAGCCTCTACAGCCTGTGTCCTCTAGTCTCTACAGCCTGTGTCCTCTAGCCTCTACAGCCTGTGTCCTCTAGCCTCTACAGCCTGCGTCCTCTAGCCTCTACAGCCTGTGTCCTCTAGCCTCTACAGCCTGTGTCCTCTAGTCTCTACAGCCTGTGTCCTCTAGCCTCTACAGCCTGTGTCCTCTAGTCTCTACAGCCTGCGTCCTCTAGCCTCTACAGCCTGTGTCCTCTAGTCTCTACAGCCTGTGTCCTCTAGCCTCTACAGCCTGTGTCCTCTAGCCTCTACAGCCTGTGTCCTCTAGCCTCTACAGCCTGTGTCCTCTAGTCTCTACAGCCTGCGTCCTCTAGCCTCTACAGCCTGTGTCCTCTAGTCTCTACAGCCTGTGTCCTCTAGTCTCTACAGCCTGTGTCCTCTAGCCTCTACAGCCTGTGTCCTCTAGTCTCTACAGCCTGTGTCCTCTAGCCTCTACAGCCTGTGTCCTCTAGTCTCTACAGCCTGTGTCCTCTAGTCTCTACAGCCTGTGTCCTCTAGCCTCTACAGCCTGTGTCCTCTAGTCTCTACAGCCTGTGTCCTCTAGTCTCTACAGCCTGTGTCCTCTAGTCTCTACAGCCTGTGTCCTCTAGTCTCTACAGCCTGTGTCCTCTAGTCTCTACAGCCTGTGTCCTCTAGCCTCTACAGCCTGTGTCCTCTAGCCTCTACAGCCTGTGTACTCTAGTCTCTACAGCCTGTGTCCTCTAGTCTCTACAGCCTGCGTCCTCTAGTCTCTACAGCCTGTGTCCTCTAGTCTCTACAGCCTGTGTCCTCTAGTCTCTACAGCCTGTGTCCTCTAGTCTCTACAGCCTGTGTCCTCTAGTCTCTACAGCCTGTGTCCTCTAGTCTCTACAGCCTGTGTCCTCTAGTCTCTACAGCCTGTGTCCTCTAGTCTCTACAGCCTGTGTCCTCTAGTCTCTACAGCCTGTGTCCTCTAGTCTCTACAGCCTGTGTCCTCTAGTCTCTACAGCCTGTGTCCTCTAGCCTCTACAGCCTGTGTCCTCTAGTCTCTACAGCCTGTGTCCTCTAGTCTCTACAGCCTGTGTCCTCTAGTCTCTACAGCCTGTGTCCTCTAGTCTCTACAGCCTGTGTCCTCTAGCCTCTACAGCCTGTGTCCTCTAGTCTCTACAGCCTGTGTCCTCTAGCCTCTACAGCCTGCGTCCTCTAGCCTCTACAGCCTGTGTCCTCTAGTCTCTACAGCCTGTGTCCTCTAGTCTCTACAGCCTGCGTCCTCTAGCCTCTACAGCCTGTGTCCTCTAGTCTCAACAGCCTGTGTCCTCTAGCCTCTACAGCCTGTGTCCTCTAGCCTCTACAGCCTGTGTCCTCTAGTCTCTACAGCCTGTGTCCTCTAGCCTCTACAGCCTGTGTCCTCTAGCCTCTACAGCCTGTGTCCTCTAGTCTCTACAGCCTGCGTCCTCTAGTCTCTACAGCCTGTGTCCTCTAGCCTCTACAGCCTGTGTCCTCTAGTCTCTACAGCCTGTGTCCTCTAGTCTCAACAGCCTGTGTCCTCTAGTCTCTACAGCCTGTGTCCTCTAGTCTCTACAGCCTGTGTCCTCTAGCCTCTACAGCCTGTGTCCTCTAGTCTCTACAGCCTGTGTCCTCTAGCCTCTACAGCCTGTGTCCTCTAGTCTCTACAGCCTGTGTCCTCTAGCCTCTACAGCCTGTGTCCTCTAGCCTCTACAGCCTGTGTCCTCTAGTCTCTACAGCCTGTGTCCTCTAGTCTCTACAGCCTGTGTCCTCTAGTCTCTACAGCCTGTGTCCTCTAGCCTCTACAGCCTGCGTCCTCTAGTCTCTACAGCCTGTGTCCTCTAGTCTCTACAGCCTGTGTCCTCTAGTCTCTACAGCCTGTGTCCTCTAGTCTCTACAGCCTGTGTCCTCTAGTCTCTACAGCCTGCGTCCTCTAGCCTCTACAGCCTGTGTCCTCTAGTCTCAACAGCCTGTGTCCTCTAGCCTCTACAGCCTGTGTCCTCTAGCCTCTACAGCCTGTGTCCTCTAGTCTCTACAGCCTGTGTCCTCTAGCCTCTACAGCCTGTGTCCTCTAGTCTCTACAGCCTGTGTCCTCTAGTCTCTACAGCGCTGCTTAACACCAGGGCTTCGACTTCAAAATTAAAATATAATTCTAAAATAAAAAATATATATATATTCGAACAAATATTAGACAGCCCTTAAAATTCGAAATGTATTTAATGACTGCAAATAAAATAGTTAGCTCCCAAAGGTTTCACCGGGACGTGCTAGGCAGGTAACAGCTAAGCTAGCTAGCTGTTTCACGGTAACTTCCGGGTTTTTCGCGATCGCTTTTTGTCACTTTAAAACAGTATTTTTGTCATGAAAAACGTTGACTGCAAATTCTGAAATCGTCCGTGCATGTGTGTTAAGGATGTGTATGTATACTGTATTGTCCAATTAACGTTTAATGGTGTTGATTGATTGATATGTATTTGTTTAT